GGGCAAGATCAAGGGCCCTAACCGGGTTGGCTCAGTGGATAGAGCATCGGCCTGCAGACTGAGGAGTCCCAGGTTCATTTCCAGTCAAGAGCATGTACCTTGGTTGCAGGCACATCCCCAGTAGGAGGTGTGCAGGAGGCAGCTGATCGATGTTTCTCTCTCATCGATGTTTCTAACTCTCTATCCCTCTCCCTTCCTCTCTGTAAAAAAGCAATAAAATGTATCTTTTTTTAAAAATATATAAACACAAGGATACCTTGGGCACCATAGCAGCCTTCCCTTCCAACTTCCTCTCCCAGAGAGCTCTGCCATCTGTGGATGGGCAGGCACAGCTCTTCCTGACTCGGGGATAAAGGGAATAAACACAGCAACTTCTTCCTCATGGAGGTCCAGAGTTGGGGATAGGGCTGGTGGAGACATCCTAAACCCTGGCACAGTCCCCAGGTTTGAATATTATTGTGGGCATTTACTTTGTCTGGATACTGTCCCCACTTCTTTGAGGGAACTACTCACCATCCCTATCAACCCCTGAACCACTCCACTCCCAACTATGTGGTGCAAGTGGGAGCAGACAATCACAGTATAGCCCTCATCCTAGCCAGAGGCCTGGGCACCGACCCAGCTGAACCAAGGGTAGTGTCTCACAGTAATTGGTCCAGGTGGGGCAGGCACATGACTCAAGCCAGCCAATAAGAATTCTCCCCAGGATTTTCTTCTGAGGCAGCTTCTTGAGTCCTTTTTAGCTGGAAGCACGTGTGCTAGGTCTGCCACCAGAAGGTCTCTCTTTGTGTAAGGAAACCCTCAGAAAGAGCCCAAGCTCGCACGCGGGAGAAAACAGATGAGAGTCCTGACAGAGTTCAAGCCCCTCATTCCAGCCAGCCTCGCCGCTGCCTCCACGCCTCACCCCTGGCCTCCTGCCATTGGGTTTGGGAGCCAGGCCTGTAACCGAAGAGCCTTACGGAATACAAACCAGCGTGCCTGCTGCGGCCCGGGGAAAGCCACCCCCACCCACAGCTCACACCCACCGGAAGTGGCCGGCTCAGTGTGTGGTTTGCCCAAGCCCCTCGACTTCTCCTTTCGAGCTTCTTGCATCAGAGATGGGCAGGAAAGACCAGGGAGGCCCTGGGGCCCTGGGGGATGCAGTGGGTATCAGGCCAGAAAGGTGAGGGATTACGAAGTTATTCAACCATCCGCGTATCAGGTGGCTGAGCCTGAGTGGTCCAGCCCCCAGTGACGGGATTCAGCAGCTTTTCAAGGGCTTTTGGCGGGTTTTTCGGGGCGGTGATTTCTTTAGGCAGACCCCGAGGGGAGATAATGGAAAGTGGTCTCAGCAAAGGGGATGTCCATTGTGAAATGGCCCAAAAAGCCAGTTCCCAGGGGATAGGTATCGATTCAACTAATCTGATCAGACGTAACAGTGGGTGGTCCCTGAGGGTGAGGCCCAGGGGGCCCAGCACCTGCCCTCTCCCAGCTACAAAGTATGTGGCTCCTCCTGTGTGAGGTTTTAGAAGCCTCGGCCAGTCAAGGTCCTGCGCTGGGCCACTTATCTGAGTCAGATGGTGTGTGTGTGTGTGTGTGTGTGTGTGTGTGTGTACCTGTGTGTGTTTGTGCCTGTGTGTGAACCTGTGTGTTTGTGTCTGTGTGTGTGTTTGTGCCTGTGTGTGTACCTGTGTGTGTGTGTGTGTGTACCTGTGTGTGTTTGTGGCTGTGTGTGTGTTTGTGGCTGTGTGTGTACCTGTGTGTGTACCTGTGTGTGTATTTGTGTCTGTGTGTGTGTGTGTCTGTGTACCTGTGTGTGTCTATGTGTACCTGTGTGTGTGTGTGTGCCTATGTGTGTACCTGTGTGTGCATGCGTGCGCCCCTCTCCTTCCGCTGTCTCATTAGGTCATGCTCAGTGCGGAGAATGCTCTTGCTTATCAGTACCTACACTCAGGGCGGCTCCATGGGCAGCGACCTGTGCGATCGGTCCCACAGGATCCTGCACTCAGAGGGACCCTGCCTTGGTTGAATGCTCTGCTGTCACCCTATTAAAATTCCTGGTCCCTTTTGAACAAGGAGCGCTGCATTCTCATTTTGCCCGGGGCCCACAGGGTATGTGGCTGGCTCTGGGCCCACAGGGTATGTGGCTGGCTCTGGCTCTGAGCATCCTCTCAGGGTGGGATCTGCGATTCCCAATTCATTGCTCCAGTTCCCAGAGTCGCCCTTCCCATCCCCCATTCTGTAATACCTCTCTCCCTTCCCTCCTCCCCCTCCCCACGCTCCTCTTCCCCACGGAGGGGGAGGGGGGCTGGGAGACACTCTCCCAGAGGCAGGGAGCCATGCCGGCACACGGAGCCAGCTGGCAGTCGGCTCACCACTCCCCCTCGGAGTTCTCTGTGAAGCCCGGAGAGCTGGGATTCACTCTGTCTGGAGCAGTGCCAGGGCAAGTGGCCTCTCCGGCTCCCGCCCCCGGGGCCTTGGGAAAGCTGCATCAGCGTGGCCGCGGTCCAGCCCGGCTGCACAGATCTGAGCCGTGGAGGACCCGCTGCAGGTCCACACATGCAGAGCGGCTTTTACGAGGACACTGCGTGGCTCCCTGATGAGGAGTTGAAAAGTCTGGCAAACAGGTAAGCAGCCCGTGTCCTTGGGAACAGCCTGCTGCACAGCCAGCCAAGGCATGTCCTCGCCCGGGGCCTCGCCGCCTCTCCTGGAAAAGGCAGATTCCAGCCCCCTGCATAAAGCAGCCTCAGTCCTCACACCCGCAGTGTTGAACGTGATAAAAGACAGGCCAGGGGGTGGGAAATGACACGGGAGAAACGGGGCCACGATCTGACAGCGCAGAGCCCAGGTGTGGGCAAACGTGATTTATTTTTGGGACATGTTAACAGCTATGCAACCGGGAACATTTCATTCACCCGTCCCACCCATGTTTTGTGTCACAAAGACATACCAAGACTTCGGAAAAAATTCCAAAGGGGATTACATTGGAATGTGCTGTTTTCTTCACTTGAGTCCTGTGCTTGTCCGAATCACAGGGAGGCAAGTGGAATAGCTTTACAGCTTACTAGCACTCAAAGCTGACACGCTCCCGGCCACAACACATCAGCTGTGCGGTGAGGCCCCGGCAGGCCACAGCCCCAGGAGACAGAAGCAGCTCGAACATAAAGCTTGTCTTGTCCAAAGAGAAAAAAAAAAAAAAAAAAAAGAACTTAAAAAGAAACACCAAAAAGAACATAAAATAAAAAGCCCATCGCCAGGACGAAAGAACGACCAAGCGGGCAATTCAATTTCTCTAGGAAGAGTGAGTCCTCTTCGGGACTGAGGACCCAAAACGCTAAGGTGCCAGGTCCTCTTTTGGAAAAGAGAGCTGAGGAACAGATCGGCCTGAAGCCGGGCTAAGAATCTGGTTTAAAAGACAAAACGGGCCGGCCGGTGTGGCTCTGTGGTGGAGTGTCGACCTATGAACCAGGAGGTCAAGGTTTGATTCTCAGTCAGGGCACCTGCCCGGGTTGTGGGCTTGATCCCCAGTGGGGAGCCATCAGTGATTCTCTCTCATCATTGATGTTTCTATCCCTGCTCCTTCCTTCTTCTCTGAAATCAATAAAAAACATAAAATTAAAAAAAGTAAAAAAGACGAAACAGATCACAGGCAGGCGCGTCACGGTACCTCCAGGGGCGGCACGGACCCTGAGTTAGAGGGCCAGGAGCACATTCTCCCAGGGCGCCCTTGGGCTGTGCCAACCATGCACCAGTTCCGCCGCACCCAGAAGAGGGTGCCCTGCTCTTGCCAGCCTGCGGGCAGCTTGCAGGGGCTGGCAGCTGGCTTTCCGTGGAGGCGCCTCCCTGCCTCTCCAGAGCCACGCCACCAAGTCCCTTTAGGAACCAATGGGCCAGGACCCGCAGAGCAGGGCCTGTGATCCAGAATGAGCAGGCAGACACCGCCCAGAGGTGCCCGAGGACACGGGCCGTGCTCGGGCAACACCGCTTGCCATCGTCCCTTCTCGTCCATTGCCAATAGGTGGCCCACTGGTGCTCAAAACTCAAGCATGGCTGGCTGGAAAAGCATAACCGTGCCAGGTGGCAGCGAGCCTCCGTGACCGAGGCTCCTCCCAGCGCCTCCTCCCAGCCTGGGCTTTCTGAGCAGAAGGGCCTGGGCTGGGAGGCTGGTTTAGAAGCCTCGGCCAGTAGAGGTCCTGTATCTCTGAGTCAAATGGTGTGTGTGTGTATGTGTGAGTGTGTGTGTGTACCTGTGTGTGTACTTGTGTGTGCATGCGTGAGCTGTGTGGAGGGGGTGAAGGCCCTGCAGGCTGGGGCTCAGGACAACGTGCCCCTGCCACACTCCCACAGACCACACACACACACACACACACACACACACACAGCTCCCGTGTGGCCAGACGAGCCCACCATCCAGGCCAGAACTCTGTTGCCCTCACGAGGCTGTAAGAGAAACAGCCCCTAGGAAAACCCCCCGGCTGCCAACACCTCCGCTGGCCACTGACCACGTGTTTCCAACGAGACTTGATGCGATGAAATCCGAGCCCGTTTGCCCGGATTTCTCACACCTGTGCCCGTGACCCACATGGTTTACCTGGCCACACAAGCACACACGCGCCTAGCGTACAAGGGGGTTTCCTGTGCACTTAGCATGATTGTGTGGGGTGTGCGCCCACATTCCCTGTTCCACTCCATTGTTGGTGTGACCCCTAACGTGGACCTGGTGACCCATGTGTGGATCCCAGCTGTAGTTTGGAGTGCTCCGGACACCCGGGGAGCCTAGGGGCCTCCGACTTGCAGACAAGAGCAGTCACGTCCTCCCTGCACGGAGGTAGCCCCCTTCCTGGGCAGGAGCCGGGCAGCCTGCCTCTTGGGTACCAGGCACAGGTGCTCCTGCGGCTGCGGCGAGTAGCGGCTTCCCATCCTTAATGAGGGAGCCGCCGCGGGAGGGCTGGCCCAGGTGTAGGCGGGCAGCCACCGGCCAAGGGGAGACACCCCGGCAGGCAGGGGCTGGGGCTCGCCCCTCAGGGGTTCCCCACGGGCGCCCCGGCCCCCCGGAGCCTCTGGATGAGCAGCCGCAGCCCGGTGACGTCGGAGGGCGCGGGGCACAGCGCCAGGACGCGGTCCACCTGCTGCGGCGGGAAGAGGCTGCACAGCTCCGCGCGGGCCCGGGCGCGCGCGTCCCCCTCGCCCTCGCCGGCCGCGGGCCCCGGGGGGCCCCACAAGCCGCCATCCCCCCAGCCCAGCCCCGCCCAAGCCGGGCGCCCCGGCTCCCGGGACCACGGCTCGGCGGCGGGCGACCTGGCCGGGGGTGCCGGGTCATCACCCTGCGGGTCCCCGAGGCGGTCCCCAGCCCGGGGCCGAACCGGCGGGCCCGCCTGGCTCCGGGGGTTCGGGGGGAGGCCGGGCGGAGCCGGCAGGGACAGGGGAGCCGCGGGCGCCCCCCAATCGGGACGGCGTGGCCGGGGCGCGAGGCCGGCAGGGAGCGCCCCAAAGGGGCCCGGGTCGTCGCCGAGGGCGAGCCGGGCGAGGCCCCCCTCCAGGCCCGTCCCGTCGGCGCCCCGCCGCGCCGGGGGCGGGCCGGGCTCGCGGGGGCCGGGCCGGGGGCCGCCCTGCTCCCCCCGGGGCCGCGGCCGCTCCTCCCGCCAGGCGCGCGTCTGGGCGCGCAGCTCGTCGGCCACGGCCAGCTGCGCGCGGTGCGGCCGCTCCGGGTGGTAGAACTTGCACTTGATGCCGTAGGTGCACTTCTTGCCTAGAGGGGGCGGGGGAGAGGGCGGGGGTGAGACCTGGGGAGGGAGGGCGGGAGGAGAGGCTGTGTGCCGGCCCGGGCTCCCTCCTGGGATGTCGCTAACCCAAAGGGCCCGGGATGCGGAGGTAGCTGGATGGGGCAGGGCGAGGTGGGGTGACGGGGCCGGGGCGCAGGAGGAATGCACAGGGGGCAGCACCCGCCGCCCTGGGGTGCAGGCCCTGGGCACAGTAACCCCGGTGTCAGCCAGGAGGGTGTCCGCCTGGGAACTCCCTGTGGCCAGGGAGAGAGACCAAACCTCTTCACCCATGGACCTCCGTCTCCATTCTCCCAGGAACCCTGCAGATAGGGGGTCTCGGGAGTGGTGGGCAGTGGGTACTTGGGGCATAGGACTGCACCTCCATCCAGGGCTGCCTCGGTTTCCTGCATTTGCCCACATTCCTGTGTTAGCCATTGCCCTCTCCCTGCACACTGTCCTACCAGTGATGAAACGGTTTATCCTCACAGCCTGGGCCCCTCTGGGAGTGAGAGGGAGCAGAACGCATCAGCCTGACTGTGTTTCGCCTTCATGCTAACACGAAATGGCTCTCCCTGTCCCCTAAGGCTTTTGGGACCTCGATGGGCACACAAACCAAGGCCCGGCGACATCGGATAACTTTCCGAGCGAGTTAGCGAAAGCTGCCTGGAAGCCTGGCGCCTGGAGGGCTCTGGGTAAAACCCCTAACTCTTCTTTTTTAATCTTATTGTTTAATGGTTTTTTTTTAATTCATTTTTAGAGAGAGGAGGGGAGAAGGAGAAGGGAGAGATCGAATTATCCATGAGAGAAACATCAATTCACTGCGTCCTGCACACGCTCCACTGGGGATCGAGCCGCCTGTGCCCTGGCAGGGAATTGAACCAGGGACCTCTTGGTCCGTGGATTGAAGCTCAACCACTGAGCCAGAATCTCTGGCTCTTAATGATGGTAGCATTGGCCAATGCCCATAAGGGCCCAGGGGTGGGGGTAAGGGCAGGATGGGACACAGCCTGCCAGGTGCCAGGTGAACGGACTGATTTATTAGGGGCACTTGGGGGGCACAAAGCCTCCCTGCTTCCGGGACCAGCTTTGCCCTGTGTGTGACCCCTACATCCACCCCCCTTCCCACCCAAATACTCCCATGCAACAGGCAGCCCAGATGTCAGCTCATTCCTACAATAACCCCTAACGTCCGGAAACTGCTGTCAAGGCACAAGGCCCTGAACTGGGCCCAGGGGGCAGGGGGTGTCACCCACCGTACGGGCAGTGCTGCCAGGAGGGCTCCGGGGGCCTTGGCTTCCTGCTCAGGAAGTTGCTCAGGGTGGGTCCCCGGCGGCCCAGGGGGTCGTCAGGAGGCATGAACCTAGAAAGCAAGCACAGAGGGGCCACTGCACCACCAGCAGGGACTCAGCGATTCCACCCGCATGGCGAGCGCCCAGCGGGAGAATGGCGGCCGGGGCATGGCCTGGGCCAGCTCCCCAGCCAGCACCCTTCCTGCACCCGCAGGCGGCACAGGGTGCGAAAGCAGCACAGCCTCTCTTGCCTGCAGCATGCGGAGCCCAGCGGATCCCTGGAGAGCAGCCCCTGGGCCGCGGCCAGGAGCCTCTCCCGCTGAGGTCCACGCCAGCGGGCAGAACCACCCAGCCACTCCCTTCCAAGCGCAGGCCCCTGGCTTCCTACCAGCCGCGCTTAATCAGATTTCAGGTTGCTCGGGAACCTGCCTTTTAACACGGCCCCGGGTGATTCTTATCCACTCAGAGTGAAGCAAACTGCTCTCCACCCCCTCCAGTCCTACTCTGAAAGCAGCTTGAGCTGCCGTCCCCCGCTCCCCCACAGAGAAAGTGAGAGACCTCCGTGGGGCTGCAAACAGCCCTGGTCCTCTGAGTCCTTGGGGCTCAGATCCCACTTCTGCAGCTACCCCCACCGCCCGGGCACTGACATCAGCAGCGAGTGTGGAACCCCTGAGGGCAAGTCAGCAAAGCTGCGGGGCCCAGCGCACACTCCGCCCGCTGCCAGATCCAACCCTCCTCTGCCAAGCCGGCTTCTGGGTGGGTTTGGTGTCAGCTCCGGGGACTGCCAGGCCCCGCACCCGCCCCTCCCCCTCCCCCTGGCATTAAGTCTAAGCCGGAAGGGAACGCACCCTCAGAGTGCTAACAGCTCAAAGGGAAAAACAACATTCCTGAGAAGGAAAACTCCCCTGGTTTAGCGCCGTCCAGTGTTTCCTATGAATACTTTTGTTCCCAGGAGACGCTTGCAAGTCACAGAAAGCCTCCGATGGAGGGGCTGTGGCTTCTAAACAGAGGGCCTGTATGCACCCGTTTGTGTCCCCTAAGGGTCAAGGATCCTGCTGAGGTCGCATCCTGCAGACCCCGTCCACCAGGCCAGCCCCGAGCCGGGCGGTCCCCGGGCAGCTCAGATCCCCGCTGCACAGCCGGCTTCCCGGAGCTGGGCCCTGACCAAGAATCCGGGGAGCGGCCCGCTGTGGTTATTAAAAGTTCCCAAAGGCAGCTGCTGGCTGGGCCAAGAGGGCCCTGCGGACGTGCCCAGAGCACTGGGGTGGGCACCCTCGCCCACAGGCAGCGGGCAGGCCCTGCCTCTGGCAGCCAGGCAACCTCTGGCAGCCCCTCAGCAGAGGCCCGCGTGTCAAAAGAAACTTGGCCCGGGCCCCAGGCTGTCACCGGGCCAGAGTCAGCCATGATCTGGCAGACCTCAGGGAGGGTTTTCTGGAACCCACAGTGACCAGACTTGCCAGATTCCTCCAGGCCTGGGCCGAGAAAGGAGCCGCTGGCCTTGCGTTTGTGGAAGTGACCAGGGTGCTCCTGCAGGGAGCTGCAGTGGGCATCCGCCCTGGGGCTCCGGAGGGTCCTCCCCACCCCTGACGGCTGTGCCAGATGGTGATGGGGCAACAGCGTCCCCTGGTGGCACTGTGTCCTGGCCTGGGAATAACAGGGTACAATTCTCTCCCGTCCCCACAACCATCTCAGCCATAAATCTGATCAATGCAAGTACATGAATTCAAGGTAAAGGACGTCCAGCTGAATGAAATTGAGTGATTTCCCTGGGACACACGCTCTGTAAGTCGCACAGCTTCCATTTGAAACCTCACCTCCTGGGACCCTTCAGTCCGCAGGCCAGTTCCGGTCAAGGGCTCATGATGTCTGGGTTGCAGGCTCCATCCCCCAACTGGGGATGTGCAAGAGGCAGCCAGGCAATGATTCTCTCTCATCTTTAATGTGTGTGTGTGTGTGTCTCTCTCTCCCTTTCCCTTCCTCTCTGAAATCAACACAAATATATTTTTAAAATAGACCTCCCGCCTCCCAAAGCCTCAGATCTCTCCACCACACCACACTGCCTCCCCGGCTTCATGGTCTGGGACGGTCTGCCGTGTGCAAGTGGCCCGGCCAGCTGCCATATTGCCTCCTCTCTCTCCATTCTCCCTTCCCCAGGCTGCAGCCACTCGCTCGCTCGCTCATCTGCAGCGAGCTACTGGGCGCCAAGGCCCGTGAGAGGCAGCGCTGCCTTCACAGAGCTGGGGAGCTTGTCTCCGACCACATTCCTAACAGCCAGCCGGAGAGCCCAGAGTGAGGTCTGCGCTGTCCTTGCCCAGAACAGAGACTGGAGGGGGAGGGAAGTCCCTGCCTGGGCACCCTCCCCACAGGGTCTTGCCCTAGGCTAGTCTCACCCTTCCCCCTGGCCCTGCCCTCAGCGTGCCTGAGCACATTCCGCCCCAACTTAGCTCAGTCTGGGGGCCCTCGGGCCCTCGCTAACCAGCACCTGCTAATGGGTTTGTGCCTTGTGACCCTCGTGTAGCTGGTTACCTAAGATGGACCTAACCCAGAGGAACCAACCTAGGGGGTAGATGAACCAAGCACATTCTCTTGGAAAATTTCAACCAAGAGGAATGGAGACAGAGTCAGTGCTAAGACTGCGGCAGCCTCAAGACGATGCCACCCGCACCCCCTCACCCCCCGCGCCCCCATGTGGTGCCAAAGCACAGCAACAAGAAGATGGAAGCAGCAGGAGGAAGTAGAGCCAAGTCCAGATCCCCGAGGGCTGTAGCAGCGCTCTTACCGAAGGTGCTACATTCTTTAAAGAGAAAAACAAAACGGGATGATGCCCCGAGCCCACGCTTGGCCCACCTGCCGGATGGCCCTCTTTCGGGTTCGCTAGATGTGGACACGGGAACGAAAAGGTCACGGGCATCGGGGGCACGCAGCCCTGTTGGAGCAAGTGAGTCACAAGAGAGAGGAGCCGCAGCAGCACAGACAGACGGTGCCGCGGAGGAGCGGAGAGATGCCTCCACCAGCCGGCGCCAGGCCTGGCGTCCCGTGACCTCACACCCCGCCGGGCCGGGCTGGCGGGAGCGGTTTGCTTCCCGTCAGTCGCCCCAGCCCACCCGGGCCAGGCCCCCATCGGCCGCCACGCACCGGTCGTTGACGAAGGAGAACATGAGCAGCCTCTGCTCGATGAACCACTTCCACTCGGGGTTCTCGCTCTGCAGGTCGCGGTAGTTGTCGTTGGAGACGATGACGCCATCCCGCTCGTAGGCCACCTTCACGATGTAGCGGTCGTCGTAGCAGACCACGCGCTTGCCGTTCACCTTGCGGGACGGCGTGTACACGAGCACCGCCTGCCGCTCCAGCTCCTCCAGCACATGCTGCTCTGGGGGCCGCAGGGAGGGGGGACGGCATGGAGCGGCTTCCTCAGGATGACCCCCTCCCCCCTAAGATCATCCCGAGCTCACGGAGCACACGTGACAGCTCGGGGGTCCCCTCTGAGCCACGCCCGTCCCCCCCCCCCCTCCGGCCCAGCTCTGCAGGAAGACCGGGGAGGTCGTGAGCAGAAGAAGGCAGCTGCCCCCGGTCAAGGGGCTCTTGGCTTCTGTCTGCCTGAGCCATGAGGAGGTCAGAGTAGGGTACCCGACAGAACAGAGTCCCTTAGACACCAGAGGCCTTTATGGAGAAAGACATTCACTTTATAACCGGAATCCTAGCCACGTCTCCGGAGCTACTAGGATCCGGGCAGCCCCCCCCCCCACCACCACCCCTGGAAAGGCTGCTGCCCAGGCCCGTAGCGGAGAGCCACGGAGCGGACACAGGAACCTGCTGGGGCACCTTCAGGATGGAGCATCGCATCAGAGACAGCTCCGAGGGCCACAAGAATGTCAAGGGAAGAGTCCAGGGTTAAGAATCTACTGCCTGCCAAAACCAGTTTGGCTCAGTGGATAGAGCGTTAGCCTGCGGACTGAAAGGTCCCGGGTTCGATTCCAGTCAAGGGCAGGTACCTTGGCTGCGGGCACATCCCCAGTAGGGGGTGTGCAAGAGGCAGCTGATCGATGATTCTCTCTCATCAATGTTTCTAACTCTCTACCCCTCTCTCTTCCTGTCTGTAAAAAAATCAATAAAACATATTTAAAAAAAAAAAAAAAAAAAACTACAGCCTGGGTTCTGGTCTTAGCTCCAGCTCTTGGGCGCCTCTCCCCGCTTGGAACCTCAGTGTTAGCCTTTATAAAATGAAGATAAATGCCTCCTGACTCCGTGTCTGCAAGTCGACTGGATGGGCTCAGCACTGGCAAAGGGGGGGACGTGCACAGATGTCACAAGGCCTCATGAGGGGCTGAATTCCACGTCCTAGAAGGTCAGCTCTTTGGCCTTCGCTTTGCCTTTGGAAACATACATGCAAAGCAAAGCCCTTCTACACACACCAGTTGCTCCGAGCTGGAGGAGGTTAGCATGTGTTTCACTGATGAACTAATGAACCGGTATGTCTCCAGGAGTGGTATGGTTGAGTTGTAGGAAAGGGCGCTTTACAAAATAGTGCCAAGTTACTAATTATTTCGTAAAGTAAAATAAAATAAAATTATATAGGGGGGAATAGTGCCAAATTGTTTTTCCAAAGTGGGTATATCAAGTTACTGCCCAGCAACCCAGCACAGCTTACTAAGGCCACCTTGTCAACACTAGGCATTTTCAGGCTTTTGAATTTCGGTCACTTTGGTGGGCGTAAAGTGGCTCCTTGTGGTGGCTTTATTTTGCATTTCTCTGGTTGCTAATGGGATTGAGCATCTTTTCATATGTTTATTGGCCATTTGTGTTTTCTGTGGAAGACCTGTTATGCATTCTGCTTCTTCTCTCTCTTAGTTCTTGGTCTTATTAATTTGGAGACATCCTCTGCAGAGCCCGGACAGTGATCCTTTATCAGGAACAGTGATGTAGAGCCTCTCCCAGTTTGAAGCTGCTCTTTTCATTTCACTGTTCTGTGGCATCCACTAATGAACGCAGGCTCGTAGTCAAATGTATGAATCTTCCTCCCACACATGTGCACGTATGTGGCTTGTTTAAAAATTCTTTCCCTACCCCAAAATGATTTCCCTACGCTTTACCCAGACTCGATTTAAATATGACACAACTGTTGAAAGCCTCCATTCTCCACCTTCAGACCGTAAAGAATGATATGGGGTAAGCGGTTCATGGTGGACAGCTGCACATATGCCCCTGCTTCTCACAATCCCATTGAAACGGCAGCAAAGAAGTACAAAAGGGGAGGGGATCCCCAGTCACATTAAAAGATGTTCTTGGGGCCAAAACTGGTTAGTGGATAGAGCATCGGCCTGTGGACTTAAGGGTCCCAAGTTGATTTTGGTCAAGGGCATGTATCTTGGTTGCAGGCACATCCCTAGTTGGGTGTGTGCAGGAGGCAGATGATTAATGATTCTCTCTCATTGATGTTTCTAACTCTCTGTCCCTCTCTCTTCCTCTCTGTAAAAAATCAATTATATATATATATATATATATATATATATATATATATATATATATATAATTTTTTTTTTAAGATGTTCTTGGGGATAGCAGCAAACCCAGGATTTGGACAGATTTTAGGAAGACGGAAAGCAGACTGGATCACACAGATGCAAAATGTGCAGAGGGAGCCCCAGGCCGGGGATGTGCACAGCAGGCTGAGTGGAGGGGGGCCCCAGGCACGTGGAGAGGGAGGGAAATCAGGATGCTAACGCAGGGCTACTCCTGGGGCAGCAGCATCCACCTTTCCCTATGCCTGAGCCAAAGGAACATGAAGCCCAGCTAGGGAGAGGAAGTTCCCATGTGGCCTTTGACCTCCTATAGTAAGACCATCGTTGTTGTGGCCCAGCTGCCTGACTACTCATGCAAGGTATGCTGGGTGAAATCTGCCCGTCACCCCCTGAGGTCAGCCCAGCCCTTCAGGAAAGATCCACATACTAAGAGAGAAAGCCTGTGGCAATCATAGATATAATCTGTTTTTTATTCACAAACTAGAGGCCCAGTGCATGAAATTCATGCACACTCGGGGGATGTCTGCCTGCCAGGAGATCGGGCCTAAGCCAGCAGTCGGATATCCCTCTCACAGCCCAGGACCCCTTGCTACTTATTGCCACCTGCTCACTACTCCTTACCACTCAGCTCACTGCTCCTTAGTGCTGCTTCGGAGGTGGCACCACTGTTGCTGCGCTCACCAGCTGTGAGACTGGATTCTGGTTGAGTGGCGCTCTCCTGTGGGAGCGCACTGACCACCAGGAGGCAAGCTCCTGCATTGAGTGTCTGCCCCCTGGTGGTCAGTGGGCATCATAGCGACTGGTTGTTCTGGTCGTTCCATCATAACAATCATTTAGGCTTGTATTATATAGATAAAAACTGACAACCAAAGGAACACCAGACTTTTGAAAAGACTTAACAGCACAAAAAAGAGAGTGAAAGAGAAAGAGAGAGAGAGAGAGAAGAGAACAAAGGAAAAAATAAATATGACTTATGGAATTGAAGAGAATTGGTGATAGTCTATAGAAGTGCTTGGCAAACTGTGGCTCACAAACCACATGTGGCTCTTTGGCCCCTTGAGTGTGTCTCTTCCACAAAATATCACGGCCTGGGCGAGTCTATTTTGAAGAAGTGGTGTTAGAAGAAGTTTAAGTTTAAAAAAATTAGCTCTCAAAATAAATTGTACTGATGATATTTGGCTCTGTTGACTAATGAGTTTGCCAGCTACTGGTCTATAGAAATAGTAAAGAATTATTAAAGAGATACTGCATCCATAAGATAAGAATAGCACTTTACTTAAAAATTAAAGAGAGAATTCTTAATTAAGAGAAGTAGAAGCTATTAGTAATCGATAGAATTAAAAACAAAAGCTTTTGGGGAAAAGGCTGAAAAACAAAGTCAAAGAAATCTTCAGAATCACCAGGAGGTCAACCCTACCATCAACTTGGCTGAAAAAAGGCCAATGGCTTAGCATTTGGCTTCTGGTTATAAGAAAGCCAAACAAAAACAAAGCCCTGTTTGTGTAGCTGAAAATAAACCTATATGACATAAGAATTAAAAATGAAGAATTCCCTGGGTCCCAGTGTCCTTTTTTTTTTTTTTTTTTTAAGTCAGAACATATGTTGTTGTGTTTTTTCTGGGAGGGGTGTGTGTGTGTTTATGAAGAGACAGGACCCAGGACTCAATAAATAAATATCACCAGACTGAATGAATGTCTCTCTCAGCTCCTACATTCTCTGAGGGGTAGGGTGCAAATCCAATCTTTCTGCAGAGTGTTCAAAGTTGTAAAACACAATTCTTTTTGGCACTTAATCATTCACACTAAAAGATAAAGCAATTTGCTCATTCATGTATTCAACCACATCTAGTGAGCACCTACTCAGTGCCAGGTGTCAGGGCTGTGGCGGTGAGCACACACAGTCAGTGCCTGCATGGAGCTCAGGAAGACTTCATCAGACAAACAGCTCTGCAGATCTCTGACTGCAAACATACCAGCAGGACCACGGCGGACAGCGCAGAGTACCTGGGGAGCATGCGCTTGCGCCAGCATACCTCTGATAGGGGTGTCGGCTCTTGGCGGGTCCTTCCTCCAGGATGGGACAAAAACTTTGATGTAGGTGTGTCCTCTTTCCCGAAACCAGTCCACAGCCAGCTGGATTCCCCGGCAAGAGAAGACTTCTTTATTCCCATGGCTACAATGGGAAAACAGAGAATCTGTACACACAGAGAAAGGGTTTATAACGAGGGATTTCCCCTGGGAATACCTTGGATCGCAGTCTCAAAATCAGAGGGAATCAGACAAATCTATATTTTAAAAATATAGTTCATTCTTTGCACAAAATATATCTCTTCACTGGAACCACGTAGCTTCTGGTAGTTTGTAGAAGGTCTCAGGCTCCAAGACGTGTGCATTCCCAGGATTAATAGACCAGATTCTCTTATTAACCGAAGCTAATAAACATCAACATACGCTGGATGGGAGTACTCATCTGCAGAATGCTCTCACCCTAAAAGAGGGCTGTAACTATGTTTATTAGGTTCCCAGATCCTAAGCAAGGAGGCCAGCATTCCCCATAAGTTCCACCACAGACATCAATGGTGGCAGGAAGGACAGAGTGGTGTGAGAGGAGGCTCAAGCCCAGGCTGAGCCTTGCAAGCTTTTCTGAAGATTTTTCTTGCTCCTAAGAGGAGTGAGAAGTCATTAAAAGGGTGTAAGACGGGGAGTAGATGTGATATGATGTGATCTGAAGTATGTTTCAGGTCTACTGCTTTGCAGGACTGACTCCCACAGCCCCACTCCAACCTCCCCTCATAAGCCTTGGTCTCTTCTGAGATGTGAAGATCATCTGGGTTTCTTCCATCTTTGCCACGTTTGTTTACCAACCTCAGAATGCCACCAGGGCTGCCCTAGTTCTGGCCACAGAAAGCTCAGGGCAATCGAAGAATTGAACCATAGCAGGAGCCAGCTCCTCTCATGGGGATGTGTCTCCACGAGGAGCCAGCAGAGGCCCCAGCCAAGAAAGAAAGCTCCTGGTCACCCTGGGAGCCCACGCCCCACTTACACAGAGCAGCACCCAGCCAAAGGCAGCCCCACCTGTGCTTCCTCCACCCGCTCAGCATCAGTGCACGAGCACCCTATTCCACAGGGCTCTGGGCAGGGGCTGGAGAGCGGGAGCGCGGCAGGCCTCCCCCTGCTTCTTGGAGCTGACTTTGATATTCGCGGAGAGCCCTGTATGCCAGGCCACATTGCACGGGGACCGCATTTCGTTGTGACAACCAGCCCTGGAGGAAGTGACCTTTGTCCCGCTTTGCCCTTGAGGAAACTGAAGCAGAGCAGTGTGCCAGCTTGCTGATCTGGCCGATCTCAGAGCCTCTTTTGCTGGGCTGCAACCGCTTCCTCCCGTCTCCGTTTATTCCCTTCATCCCTCGCCGTCCCCGGCCTCTGCCCCTGAGAGCCAGACCCCACTCCTGTGGAGCCCGCGTTACTGGCTGCTAACACCTTGCCCTGGGAAGGAGGGGGCTGGGCGCTTATTACTAGACACTGCGGGCCAGTGTCTCAGACCCTGGGCAAAGGAAACAGGAGGGTAGGTTTTGAATAAAGGGAGGGTGGAAAGGGGAAGTGGGCTGGGGCCTGAGACACATTTTGCCTACATGACAGCCGTGCCTGAGGCAGCCACAGTTAGCATGTAGCCCCGAACGGGGACAGGACCATCTAACTGGGACAGGTCTGGATCTTCAACGATTGTTCAGAAGGCTCCGAGGTCTCTGCAGCTCACAGCACAGGCCTTTGGGGTGTGACGTGGACAGGGCATCACTGTTGGACTGTTCTGTATCTGGGGTAAGTTGTCAACACTCTGAACCTGGAGTTACAACCCTTCTCACCCAGGGGTCACCCCCAGCTCAGGCCTGAAGGAAGAGGGAGAGGCAGGGGGCTGCTTGGAGCACCCTCATCTCACCAATGGGAGGGTACATGCAGACTTAGGGCATGTGCGAGGGAATTGCCCCCGGCCGTGGGAACCCACTGACCGGGGCCTGACCAAGTCCTGAGCCCACTCGCTGAAGATTCTGCCGAGGTTTCTAATGGTTTAAAAACATCAACAGCAACACCTCAACCCAAAAGCCCTGTACCCCAAAATGAGGACACAGTCAAATGAAAGCCTTGCCCGGGGCAGTAAGAGGATGTGAAATTATCAGGTGGATTTCCCCCACGCTGAGGTCCTTCAAATCACGCCTCTGCTAAATTTGCCTACAGAGCGAGCTTGCAGCTCACAGCACTTGTCACGTGAGTTCCTCCCAATCACCATGGGCAGCTTCCAATCTGCTTTCAATGAAAGCAATCTTCTTTTTAAAACCTGCGGGACAGCCCTGGTTGGTTTGGCTCAGTGGATAGAGCGTCAGCCTGCGGACTGAAGGGTCCCAGGTTCAGTCCCGGTCAAGAGCAGGCACCTTGATTGCAGGCACATCCCCAGTAGGGGGTGTGCAGGAGGCAGCTGATTGATGATTCTCTCTCATCGATATTTCTAACTCTCTATCGCTCTCTCTTTCTCTCTGTAAAAAAAAAATCAATAATATATATATATATTAATATATATCTCAATAATATATATATTAATAAAAAATAAAAATAAATAAAACCTGCTGGACATTTGTCTAAAGGACAGGTTTATTGTGACTCAGATAATCAACTCCCATCTCACTCTCTCACATACATACACCCGCACACACATGCACACATACACATATGGAGGTGAGGGGATTGGACTTGTCAAACTGCAACAGAGCCACCAAGCCATGCATTCCAATGCCCTGAGGGTCCCCTGAAAATTGGCGGCAGCAGCAGCAGAAGCGTCCCTGGCTCCAGTCCTGCAGCAAGCACCTGGGGTCCTGCAGAGGGGCTTGGTACAGCCTATCTGCAGTGGACATGTCCAAGTCCGGGGCTCACTGGGCAGGCCCTGGCCCAGGATAAAAGCCCTGGGGTCAGGGTCTCCCACCCTGAGACCCTCTCCAAGACTGGACATGGCCATGGAAAGGCAGAGGTGCCTGGTGCAGGAGGAAATGGAGGGCTTTGGCAAGAGCATGGAATCCGGAGCCTGGCACTTAGTGTTCTGTGACGTTGGGCAAGTTATTTGCTTTCTCTGAACCTCTGCCAAAGAATAAAAATCCCTTTATTGATAAAAAAAAAAAAAAAATTCATTTCTTTCAAGCCATGCATCAAAGAACCATCTTGAATCTTACTTACACTGTTAGAGATAAAAAAAACCAGTGAAGATTATTATTTAGTCTAACCTCTTAATTGTATAAAAAGGACTCATAGAAGGTGATTCCCACCAAGGTCACGTAGCTGGTGAGTTGAAAGGCTAGAGCTGCATGGTGGGCACTCACCGCATGAGGCTATTGCGCTTAAATGCAAATGAATGCAGAATATTAAAATTCAGCTATGTGGTCACAGCAGCCACATTTCAGGGGCCAGGTAGCCACAAGTGGTGACGACAAATGGTGACCCAATGGGCACAGAGCTTTCCAACACCACAGGGACCTCCTGGTTTTCTACATGAAATACACAGCTATGGGCAAGCATGAGGGCTGGCTTCTCGGTCCTGACACTGCAACTTAGAACTCTCACTGAAGCTGACCTATCACTTAGGAAATGCTAATGAGACCATCAGTCCTGCTCGTAAGAGCCCAGTGGGATCCCTTTGCCATTACAATGAGGAGAGGAAAGGGGATGTGGATCTATTTAAATGACTTGAGGATAGTATGTGTTTTGTGAAACAGGCCAGGCTCTCATGTGCTTTGAGAAAACACATTCCCACTTCTTTAAAAAGCACGTGAGGGGGGAATAAAAAGCACTTGGGGCCAGCATGGGCATGGCTCAGTGGTTGAGCATTGATCTATAGACTAGGTCTGTGGCTGGCAAATTGTGGCTCGTGAGCCACAGGCGGCTCTTTGGCCCCTTGAGTGTGGCTCTTCCACAAAATACCGTGGCCTGGGCAAGTCTATTTTGAAGAAGTGACATTAGAAGAAGTTTAAGTTTAAAAAATTGGCTCTCAAAAGAAATGTCAATCGTTGTCCTGTTGATATTTGGCTGTTGACTATAATGAGTTTGCCGACCACTGGACAAGAAGGTCATGGTTTGATCCCCAGTAGGGGGTGTGCAGGAGGCATCCAATCAATAATTCTCTCTTATCATTAATGTCTCTATCTTTCTCTCCCTCTTCCTTTTTCTCTGAAGTATGATTATATATCCATAATAATAAAAGGGTAATATGTTCATTAGACTGGACATCTTCCGGATGTCCAGACATCCTTCCTGATCAAGCCGGGGCCGGAGGAAAGCCAGCCCGGGTCCCAGGTGCCTGCCGGTGGCCAGAGGAGGAAAGCCAGGGTCTTGGGTGCCAGAGGGAAGCTGGTGCCGGCAGCTGATGGGAGGAAGGCCTATTCTTGCACAAATTTTCATACATTGGGCCTCTAGTATATTTATAAAACCTACAGCTTCAAAAATAATAAAAATATATTTTAAAATACAGATTTCTATTTAGGTAACTAAAAAACAAAACAAAACAAAAAACAAAAAAAAAAACACCTCACACACGCACAGAATGACAAGGTCTGCAATACTACAAAACCTCAGCAAAGGAGAATTTTGAGAAACCATGTTTCTGAGGTTAACTAAGTTTTGAGGTCAAGAGATAATAACTAGACACAGCCGTTGGGTTTCAGCCATCCATCCGCTCCCTCTGAAGGGTAAGCCCCATGCTGGGATCTGTCCTGAGGGTCTGCCAATGACAGGAGGACACAAGCGGCGTTATTGTGAGAGGGAGCTGCACCTCAAACTCTCCTCCAGACTGGCCTTAGACCAGGGCAAGTCCCACTGCCCGGTGGTGGCCGTGCAATGTATCCTTTGTTTCGGGGATGTGTGTGCCTGTGTAGATCTGTGCGTGTGCATGCACATGGTACACATGCTGAGAACACGCACAGATGCATGTGCTCCGGTTCACCGGGGTGATTTCCGGGCAGCACGTGTCTGACACATTTTAGTGGGCAGCCTGAGAGATGGTTTGCATCTGTAACGAGCAGACTGAGCTCGAAGGGACTAAACTGCCACAGCTGGAGGGCCGGAGGTGGGTCTAAATGGATGTAGCCAGGACACATTACGGTCACGTGCAAATAGAGGATGTCGTTCCAATTTGAATTCCACGCAGTAACAGAGACTTCCATGAAAAGAAAACCCTCCACCCCGCCTGTCAGAACAATTCCTAAAACACGCCCAGTCCCCGGGAGAGATGCTACGCTTTTCGCTTCCCTGTGGCGCGCGGAGCCCTCTGTGCCCCACAGCCTTTCTGCTCCTGTGATCTGGACGCTCAGGGCTCACAAAACCTTCCGCCCGGAAAGGCCCGCGATGTGAGTGATATTTACAGTGATAAATACACCGTGTATTTCTATTGATGCTTAAAGGGAGCAGGGCCCCGTCAATAGGAGGCCAGGATCCCCTCTCCTCACCCCTTAGACTTCTTTCTAGGACCTTCAGAACCTATTGGGTTCCTAAAAATCCCATAACTCCCCCAGAGATCTTGCCTTAAACAGGATTCAGCCCCAACCGGTTTGGCTCAGTGGATAGAGTCCCAGGTTCGATTCCAGTCAAGGGCATGTACCTTGGTTGCATCCCCAGTGGGGAGTGTGCAGGAGGCAGCTAATCGATGTTTCTCTCTCAGGGATGTTTCTAACTCTCTATCCCTCTCCCTTTTCTTCTCCCTTCCTCTCTGTAAAAAATCAATAAAATATATTTAAACAGGATTTCACAGGCTCCTGGGAGCCTGCAGGAGAAGGTAACAGACCCCCTGAGGCCCAGCCCCTGAGCCCTGGAGAAAGGGCTCCATTCCCCTCTCTGGTCTAATCAAGCCTAGGAAGCCCCCTCTAGCTACAGCCTGACCTCCCACCTACCAGGCAGGGCACACAGGAGCAGCCCGAGGCCCGGCGTCTGGGCTTGAGCCATTCCAAGCTTGGGCCCTGTGGTTCCCAATGCCAAGGGCGACCAAGGCCCCAGGCAGAGCCCCTCGGCCTGCCAGCCAAGGGTGCGCTGCTGCCTCAGTGCTGCTGACAGCACAGTCTTTCCCCGTCCCCTCCGGCAGCCCGGCCTCGGGAGCGGGACGCCTGTCTGGGGACTGATTTCCTACGCTCTGCCCTTCACCTGCGGTCACCAAGCCAAGCAGCAGGATAAGGCACGTGTGTGGGCCATGCCTCCTCCTGGCCCGGCCCAGTGGGGGGTGTGGGGAGGCCGCAGAGATTCTCTCACCGCTGAGCTTGGCCTCACCAGGAAAAACAACAAGGCAGGGCCTGTCGCTCTCGTCTCTGAAACACGTAACACGGAAGGTGCCAATACCCAGATAGTAACAGCCCTGTCTGCAGCCCGGGGCCAGGAGCCACCTCTCACACCTAGGGAACCACCCCCCGCCCCACAGCCCCAGCGGAGGGCTGCCAACCAAGTTCAAGTTCATTCTCCCATCTGATTCTCACACCCTCGAGGGAAGCAGAAGAGGAAAGGAGAAACACGGCCTTCCCAGAATCCCAGAATCACACAGCTGGTTGGGGACAGGCTCCCGAGAGGACCGTGGAAGAACTGGCCGCTCTGGCCCAGTTACCCACAGCCTGCCTCCCAGGAGGACTCTCTCAAGGTTCATGTGATAACAGCGGCCACCTGTGGAACCCTCGCTGCGCGTGTCAGGTACTGTCCTCCGCGTTTCATGCAGCTCCCTTCTAGGGTGGTTTCGTGCATTACAGATGGAAAAAGTGAGGCTCAGAGAGGGTAAGCGACTTACCTGAGGCCACACAGCCACTAAGCGATGGGATAGGATCCAAAGCCCCATCCGTGGGCTCTAAACCACTGAAAAGAGGGCCAGGCCTCCCACCCAATCCCGTCCTCACCCCTCCCACGGAGAGAAGGAAGCTACCTCATGGCCACGTTGCTGCCGTCGATCACGATGGGTCTCAAGGAGCTGGCCAGGTCTCCACACTCCTCCTCCTCGGGATCGGCGCCCAGCCCGCGCCGGATGGAGTCCGGGGTCCCGCAGGAGCCCCTGGGGACCAGCAGGGGGGCGGTGCTGCTCTGCGGGGCCCCGGGCCGGCTGCCCGTCTGGATCAGCTCCTGCAGCACATCGTTGACCAGGGCGTCGCGGCCCAGCTTGGCCAGGACCCGGACCACGTCCTCCGGGTCGTAGCCTAGCTTCTGGAAAAACTCCATCTTGCTTGAGTGCTCCATGCTGTGCCAGCCAGGCCCCTGGCGAGGGTCCTGCCCCCGGCTTTGTCCTGGCAGAGCCCCACCGGCATGAGCTAAAGAGAAAAGGCACCCGTCAGGCGTGTCTAGGCAGCCGGGCTGGCTGTCAGGTTATGGAGGGCACACGCACCACGCTCCCTCCGCGCCTTATCTGTCAGCAAATCGCGTTGGGGACGCCTGGCCCCCGTGGGGATTTTCAGCTGCTCGGTGTGGCTGGGGAGCCACAGATGCAATCACGCTGCTCAAGGCCCCACACAGCACCCTGGCAAGGATCCCCAGCCAGAGGCCGCCAGGCCTGGGGACACTGGCACACAGGCCGAAGAAATGCTTCTGAGGCTTGGCCACGGGGTGAGCTGGGTTCATGCCCATTCATAGTGTGAAGCCCTCGCCCTAATACCTGAAAATGTGACTAAATTTGGAGATGGGGGGTCTCTAAAAAGGTAATTAAGCTGAAACCGGTTTGGCTCAGTGGATAGAGCATCACATGCGGACTGAAAGGTCCCGGGTTCGATTCTGGCCAAGGGCATGTACCTTGGTTGCGAGCACATCCCCAGTAGGGGGTGTGCAGGAGGCAGCTGATTGATGTTTCTCTCTCATCAATGTTTCTAATTCTATCTCTCTCTATAATATAATATAATATAATATAATATAATATAATATAATATAGGTAATTAAGTTAAAAAGAGGTCCCTGATCCAATAGGACTGGTGTCCTTGTAAGAACAGGAGCCTTGGACACAGGCGGCTACAGATGGAAGACGATGGGAAGACAGAGAGAAGGCAGCATCTACAAGCTGCAGAGGGAGGTCTCAGGAGAACCAACCCTGCCACCACCTCGATCTCAGACCTCTAGCCTCTAGCACTGACACAATCGTGAAGTAAAATATTACATAATAGCATATATGATTACATAAAATAGTATTATAATATATAACATATGATGTACATATAATCAAGAGCGCCCGATCTGTGGTGTTTTGTTATGGCAGTTCTCGTAAATTCATACAGCTCCTCGGCTTAAACAAGGAAAAATCCCCCTGGCAAATTCCATGCCCAGAAAGTGCACCCAAATCCAACTCTCTGCACTGGCTGGGCTTTCCCTACAATTAATTCAGATCACACCGAACCTCTAGGTCCTCATCCACTGGGATCCTTTCCCCCCAGGCGTGGCCCGCACCTCTGTGGGGAGGGATGTGCTGATGGGGGGCTGCAGCCAGATGTTTACAAATAAAGATGATTAAACCAGAGGACACTCTGGACAGACTGGGTCCTTCTCTCCTCTCCTCACAAAGACCAACATCTTTCAAAAAACACCTTAGAAGACAGATATAATCCTGAAAATAAATTAACTGTGAGAAGGTGAAACAATGCAGATGTATAAGAATAAAAAGATATAAAAATATATTCTGTCTCTTTGGACACACCCCAAATCCCACTTGCTGAGTATTTGCCCTCTCCCAGCATTTTTTCTATGCATTCACTTGCCTATCTAACAGACACACAGATGTATTGTCCTAGAAGGATGTTTTTTAACATAAATAGTGCCATACTGTATGTAATCTTTAACAACGTGCTTTTCTTATTAAAAATAAGTTATGGAGCCCTAACCGGTTTGGCTCAGTGGATAGAGTGTCGGCCTGCAGACTGAAGGGTCCCAGGTTCGATTCCGGTCAAGGGCATGTACCTTGGTTGCGGGCACATCCCCAGTGGGGAGTGTACAGGAGGCAGCTGGTCGATGTTTCTAACTCTCTATCCCTCTCCTTTCCTCGCTGTAAAAAATGAGTTGTGGCAATCTTCCCATGCCTTTTTATCTTCTCTTCCCACTGCATCTCCACATTTTGAACGGGGGCCTGGCACAGCTGATCCTGGATGCATATTTGTTGGGTGGATGGACAGATGGCTGGACGGAGGAAGGAAGGAAGGAAGGAATGGTGTCTAACCATATGCCAAAGGATGCCGTTTAAGTTGCCTTCCATTTTTCCCTGTTACAAATCATGCTCAATGGAACCGTGGTGCCCGCTGATTTTGGTCTTGACCTTCAGGTTAGTCTCCCACAGGAGTCCCCTGCAGGATCCAAGTCTCTCTTCTCACTTTCCAGCTCAGCTTCTCTGTCTCATGTGAGGCCTCTCCCTGTGGTGCTGGAGCCCAAACAGAACCAACCATGGCAGGTGAAGGGCAGTTTTCAGCCGACTCCTGGACAGAGAGGCCTCTGCTTCACCCATTTGTCACCATCACCCCCCTGCCTGGGCCCCTAGCGCCCTCGGATTATAAATATCTCTGACCTCGTGGTGACTACAAGGCAGGCCCTGGATTCTTGAGCAGGCTGCTGGGCTGGCACTGTCGACCTCATCGCCCACCACGGGCCCACCAGCTCTTTGGAGCCATACTTGATCCCTCCCGGCTCCCCAACTATTCCAGAACATTCATGTCAGCGTGCCTGCTTTCCTCTCCACCTGGAATGCTGTTTGGTTTGACAAACTTCGAGATTCAGCTCAAGTGCACTCAAAGTGGTCACCCTTAACTCCACAGAGTGAGAGGCTGGTCATCTCACCCACTGGGCACTTTGCTCACACCTGTCATGACACGCTGAATTCTTTATCTATTTCTCAGGAACCTGCAAACTGCACTCTGACCTATTTGTCTCAGAATCACCAATACCTGGCATAGTGCCTACTCTACCTGAGTTTGATAGATTTTCCTTTAATAAATGTCAAAAGCTGAAATCATCTTCTCTCTGCATATGTTTTGTTTTTTCTTGGTTCTGAATCTCATTGAATGGCTTCTCCCTGAGGCCCAAAGAAGAATCTCAGCCACCTTTAACTCTTCCCTTTCTCTCACATCCACATTCAAATGTCTTTACTTCTACTTCCTGGACATTTCCCATAACCATCCTCTCTTTTACATTCACTCATTCATTCATTCATTCATTATCTATTCATTCATTCGTATAACAAACACTGATCACCTACTGTGCTGCAACCCAGTTCTATGAAAACAAAGTAAAACACAGTTTAATTTCAATTCATTCAGAACCTATTTAGGAAAACAGACAACAAACGTAAGCAATAAGCCCTAAATCATGATGATAAACACAGTAAGTTTTGATTAGAAACATGTGTTTTAAAAACACAGGTGAGGAATGAGTCATCTTCCTTTGAAGGAAAGGAGAGACCCGAAGGGCCCTCACAGACCGGAGAACAAAGGAAAAACGGGCCTTTCCCAGCCAGAGCCGGCCCATGTGTCTCTCGCGGGGGCTCCTCTCCCACCATCACCCACCGCTCCAATCAAGTGCGTGCACTGACTAACGACTTCCTGTATCTCCTCGAACACCTCTGTGTGCCTCTGCCCTGCACAGAGCAAACGCCACAACTCTACAGCATGAGCCTGAAGGCCTTCCGCACAGGGCCAGGCCCACCCTCCAATATCCTTGGCCACCACTAGTCCAGCCTCTCCTTCTACTCCTAACGAGTGGCCAGTCCCCTCTCAGACGGCTGTTCCCCTGGGCTGGGGTCCAACCTCCATGGAGGAGGAGGGCACTCACCCCGCCTGGCAGCCCAGCCTCCCCCCAGGAGCCGCTCACTGTCCCTGGAAGGCCCTCTCTCTCTCCCAGGCCAGCCGGCCTGCTCTCCAGCTCTTCCCTCTGCCCGGAGCACCCGCCCCCCACCAGGCCCAACCCCACTGTCACATCCGCCAAGGAGCCTTACCAGTCCCAGTAGCTCCAGCTCCAGTCCCACCCAGCCCTCCCTGCTGACGCGTGCACTGCAGCACTTACTTTGGTTTGGGAGAAAGAGAGAAATGGAAGAGAGAGAGGGGGAGAAGAGAAAGACTAGCAGGATGGGACTAAAGTCAGAGAGAAGAGAAGAAAGTCAGAAACAAGCAACACGAACATAAAAGTCCTCATTGTTTCCACATTGCGTTCACATAGAGACTCTTGCTTGAACTTTCCATGATCTCTGGTGGGTGGGCGGGAGAGCAAGCACTCTCTTTGCATAGGTGGAGAAACCGAGGCTCAGAGAGACTCCGAGTGAAGGGTGCAAAGCTCATAAATGGCAGAGACCGACCACAGGTAGAGTCAGAAACACCCGCTGCTCTGAGCTGTGTTCAGGGCGGAGCAACACCTTGTCACTGCAGAGGGGGAACCCAACCATGCCAGGTCCGGCCACCTCTCTGGCCCCAGAGTGACAGCTACGAGGAGAGTCTGTGTGAGCTCTGTAAGCTTGCATTCTGGGATGACAGAAACCTAAACATTTCCAAGATAAAAACCTCAGGTCTCTCACCCGGGGGAGGATGTGTGTGTGTGGGGGGGGGGGGGGGGACGGTGAGTGGCCACGCCAGGCAGGGCCCCCAGCAGCCCTCTGCAGAGCGCTCAGGCCCCACACAGCAGCCTTCTGAGGAGCCTTCACTGAACCATCTGCCCACGTAGAGGCTTTCCCCCCCTGAGACTCTAAAACCAATTTCATTTCCTTTGAAAACTTCCAAATAAGGGAGAGGCCGGGGCTGGGGGCTGTTCTGGGGCCCGCGCCCCATTGCTCCCTGCAGATGGGATTGTCTTTGAGCTGCCATACGGCCAGCTTCTTCTCCTTCCTATATTTAAGACCTGAGAGGGTGAACCAGTTCACTAGAGCTTTCTTCCTCAATCTTGACTGGAAGTCACAATCTTGACTGGTCAGTAACACTGCAAATCTCCCGGGTCTCCTCAGGAGCGCCCACAGGGTCAGCACCGCGACCCTCTCCTGGGTGAACAGTGCGGTGACTGCTGCCCGGGTAGGAGCCCAAGTCAGCGGTGACCCAACTACACTGTGGAGGGAGGGGGGGACGTGGGACCTCACCGGTGGGAAATGGGAGTCAGAGCAGACCTGGCCCTTCTAGAATCAACAATCCATCCCGGTGGTCAGGAAAGGCTCTGGGGACAGGAATAAAGAGGAACATGAGGAGGAAGTGGGAGGGAAGGCCTGTAGGGAACAAGCAGCTTACGTGCACGCAATG